CTCTTCCCCTCCCGGGGCTGCAGCTTTGCTTCTTCCAAAACTCATTAAATAAAAGTTTGAACACTGGCGGTTTAACACCGGCTTAACCGCGGGCTCCAGTGCCAGTGGCACAGAAAGGGTCTCCAGAGCAGACAGAGCTCCCCGTGTCCCCATCCTCCCTCCTCCAAGTAATGAAGAGGAGGGAGCCACCGATCCCAGCCTCCATCTCCATAATAAAAGGATTATCCAGGTGAGGGGAGGAGGAAGCCCCAAAGCCGGCAGCACAATCTCCTTCTCATATGACTTGGGCTTTTTTTTCCTTAAAAGTTATTAAAAGGGAACAATATTTCTAATTTGCATTTGTCGGAAGAGTGGGATGAACCTGCAGACAGACAGACGGACAGACAGAGGGAGGGACGCATGGCTCACCCAGGAAGGCGGAGGGGGAGACGGTGCCGTTGCTCCTGGCCACCATGACACTGATGCCCGTCTCCACGAAGGGCACAGAGAAGTCCACGATCTCGGAGCGCTCCTCGTTGATGGTGAGGGAGCCGATGGCCATGTCCGCGCGCTTGTAGTACACCTGGGGAAGGGGCAGATGGTCTCAGGATGGGCAGATGGACAAGCAGAGAGACCCGGACCACCTTCTCCAGGCATTCCCTCATCTCCAGCACTTCCAACCTTAAATTATGGCTTCTTAAATGACCAGTGACACAAACACAATCAGCTGTAGGGTTGTAAACGTTCAGCTGACTCCCTCCCTGTTCTCCTCCACCCAGCCTTGCCCATAAGCTCATGCCAAGCTGTCCCCTGCCCAGACACCACAGACACCCTGACCCCATCTCCAGGAGGAAAGCCCCAGGTCAGGACATGCCCTGAGCAAGCGATTCCCCCAAAGAGGACGAAAAGTGGAGTCCAAGCCATGCCCACCCCTACCTCACCAATCATGCCGTTCCAGACCCCGCGGACGATCTTGCCGTGTTTGCCATTGGTCACTAGGTAGAGGTCATACGAGAACTTCACCGCCTTGGCCAGCTTCTTCAGGATGTCGATGCAGAAGCCCTTGCAGCACAGCTTGGTGTAGGGATCCACGAGGCCATCACTGCTGAAAACGCACCAGGAAAAATGGGTTGGACCAACCAAAGATGCTCCGAGCACCCTGGTGCCCCTGGACACCACGTGCCCAGGGACTGATGGCCAAAATTGCCGAGCACCATCCTTGCTGCTCACCTCTGAGAGGAGTTGGTCTGCTTGCGGCAGGGCACGGTGTTGCGCACGCAGACCCCGGTGCTGGGGTCCGTGTTCTCCACGATGACAAAGGGTCTCTCCTCCAGTGTGGCCACTGTCAGGTGCCGGTTATCAGCCACGGGCTGCAGGAAGGAGCCGTACCGGGGCCATACCGGGTACTTCATGTGGATGATGCCTCTTTCCCACTTGCCCACCTGCCCCGAGAGAGAGTGCCGGTGAGGGAAAAAAGGCTCTGGGGGGGGGGTCACATGGGGTCCCATGTCCATCCCTCCCATGCCTTCAGGGCTCATTTCTCCCAGAACATAGTTAGGCTGGAACTCAGCCGTGGTGAGACCCATCTCAGTGTCCTTCTCCCCACACACCCACTGACTACAGGGCAGGTGTTTCCTCCTGGGCCCCAAACCCGGCCAAACTTCACTCAAAATAGTTTCAAACTAAAAAAAAACCACCTCTGTGCAGCTTGTTTCAGGCCTAGGTGTTTGGCAGCTGCTCTGAAGGGTGGACAGCTGCATTTTTGCCTCTTTTGGAACTTTTCAGGCAAATTGCAGGGAAAAAAAAACAGTTCTTGGCAGAGCTTTGGTGCTCGACATTGCCATCAAGCTCCACCATGGGTACTTTTGGTAGCAGCCATGGGTTTTGCATGGGATGACCTGCCCCAGAGTGGGACTCCAGGCTGTGCATGGCCCCAGGCTCACCCTGCCTGGCCACCCCCCTGGTGTGCCTGTCCCGGGGGATGCAGGGGTCCTACCATCTCCCAGAGCCGGTGCTGGTTGAGTGAGATCACCACCATGGTGGGCCTGACCAGGTAGCCGCCTTCATTGAAGGAGAAGTCCCTGTGCTCCCACGTCACATTGAGGAGGTGCCTGGTGGGACACAGCGCCTGTAAGCCTCTGGCTGTGCAGCCCAGCCCTGTGCAGCCCTCCTCGTTCTCCTCCTCCTCCTCATCCTCCTCCTCCTCTGGCTCCAGCCAGGCTGCCATGGGTCCCACAGAGAGACGTGGGGCTGAGAGCTGGGGACCAGGTTTAGCCCCTACACAAGGGGCGGTGGGGAGCTGGAGAAAGTCCTGACAGCACGGAGAATGGACCACCAGAGGGTTAAGGATGCACAGACTGCCACCACAGCCCCAAGGTGCCCCGTCTGCACTGCAAAGCAGAGCTGTGAAACCCCCCCTGAGACCCCCATGGGAGAGAAGCATGGCAAAAGGCAAGGGCTGCTCTGGGGAGATGCTCCAGGAGAAACCCAGCCAAGAGGCATGGACCACCAGCTGCAGCCCACAGCGATCATCATGCCCCCAGCCCACCAGCTCCATCCTCCTCCTCCTCCACCCCTTCCCTCTCCGTTTCCCCATTCCCCCCATTTCACAACCATCCCAGTGGGTCCCCGAGCCTCACCGGTAGAAGCTGGTGTTGGTGACAGGAGCCCCGGCGGGGGCCCGGCAGCCGCCCACCCCCCGGAGGGTAGCCATGGGCCCGGAAGAAGCTGGCCGCCCCCATGGCAATGATGGCCACCCCGTCCCGCACCTTCTGCCGCAGGCTCAGCTTCCAGCTCTCTGTCACCACACTGATCAGTCCGACGGGGAAGGAGGTGGGTGGCACCTCCATGTTGCCCACCGTCAGGCTGGGCACGATCCAGATGTAGCCTGGCCCCACGAGGCCGGCTTGCTCCGCCATGGCGAAGAGGTACTCAGCCTCCTCTCGTGAGCAGTAGACGATGAGGACCTGGGCATCGATCTGCCGCAGGAGCCGCTGCGTCCTGGAGCTGCTCCGCTCCTGGCTCATCTCGAAGGTGAGCACCTCCTGCAGCTCCCAGCCGAAGTAGCTGGCGTCCGTGAAGGAGCGGATGATGTCCAGGAAGATGTTGTAGCCTGGGTAGAGGCTGGTGATGACAGCGAAGGAGCCCCAGTCGTATTCCTCCAACACCTTGAATATCACCTGGATCTGTTGCTCAATGGAGACACCCAACTGCAGGAAAGCTGAGCCAGGCTCCTACAGGAGGAGAAGGGGTCAGGGGTTGCTCCGGCACCATGGTCCAGGTCTCTTGCACCCATGTAAGCCACCTTGAATTTGCCATCATGGGGGGTTTGAGGAAGTCATGGACTGGTGTGATCCATGGGCCGGAAACACCCAATATGGGACCGATGCATTGGAAGCCTTCAAGGAATCTCATTCCATGCAAAGGGTCAAGCCCTGCAGTCTCTCCTCCATTTATCAGCTTGTTGACGAAAAATTAATCCATCCTCTGAAGGAGACCAGGAATTTCTCCTTAAACCAGGAGAGGGAGGGGGGCCAGGGCTCTGCCAGGAACGTAAATCCCATCCCGGCTCTGACACTCTACCTGCTGCCCGAGCCCGCACAGCTCCTTCCCTCCCGCCCCACCTCCCCGGCCATCTGGCCTCTCATTAGCAAACCTTAATTGATCTGATTCTGTCTTAAATGATTCAGCGAACGGCATTTGCAGAAGGTCGTGTGCCGGCAGCAGGGTTTTGCCACCCAGACCCCCTCCACCTCCAGAGAAGGAGTTTTTCCAACAAGGCTGGTGGTCTAGCCGGAGGGGTGAGCCCTGGGGAGTCCTGGCTGGGACTGAGCTGCCGGGGACCTCTGACCCACAGAGAGAAGTAGAGAAGCCAAAAATCCTGTTTCGGCCCATGGGGCACCTGAGATCGATGCCACAGCTGAGTGAGGCTTCTCCATGTGCCTGCCCAGCCACTTCAGGGCTGGATCCGGCCCCGGCGGGGCAGGGAGGATGTGGACATGCCAACCCTGTCACAGTCCTGGCAGCCCCGGTGCCACAACCCCGGCACTCCATGGCAGGCACAGCTTGGAGGGGACAGGAAGCAGGACACCAGGGAAGGTCCCTCCACAGGGCACTGAAGTCCTCTCCCACATCCCATCAACAGGGTCCCTCCTCAAAGTACCCTCCATGTCCCACCACCCCAGTCGGCCATGCTGCTGCAGCCACTGCCTATTGCTGCCTGTGAGCCCCCACGCTGCAGCCCAGCAGCTCCTCTGCCCTCCAGCATGTCACATCCCATATTTACCCCTCTCTAACTATCCCTCATTTCTCCCCCCTAAAAAGAATCCCCAGCGAATGCCTCACCTTGGGGGTCAGGACCACAGCAGACCCCCCACTGATGCTGATGACGGGGACCTGGGTCTGGGAGGAGATGAAGTCAAGGATCTGGGCCACAGCCTCTGTGCCAACGTTGTCCTCGAAGACAATGCCGTGGATCTTGTGGCTGGCGAGGATGTCGCAGATCTGGGTGAGGAGGGTGCTGGGGTTGGTGTTGTTGACGATGACGGTGATGGGGTGGATCTCCAGGGGCATGTCCAGGAAGCTCTGTGGACTCAGGCGGGAGCGGATGTGCAGGGGGTAGGACGTGCCCCCAAACACCACGGCCACGTTGACCACTGGCTCCTCGGGGCCCGGCAGCAGGAGGTCCGTGAAGGCAGCCGAGCAGCCCAGCACCATCGACAGTAGAAGAGCGTGCGCCGGCGCTCTGCCCATGTCCACCGCCACGTCCCTGCCAGGACAGGAGACAGCCCCTCGCATCCGCCCGCCTGCCGGGACCCCTGGCCCAGCTCGTCCCAGCCCTTCCTTCCACCCCAGGGCAGCACCAGGATGGGTTGGCCCCAGGGACAGAAGGGGACCCTCGTCCTTTGGAGGCTGGACACGGTGGAGGGACGACCACAGGGTTGTACCCACCACCCACTGTACACCCCAGTGCCGCATCCCCTGTCCCCAGTCTCACCAACCGCTAACCCCTCCCAGCCGGTCACCGCTTCCTACCACTACTGTCCCCCTCCCACCCCATCCTCTCTCCAAAAGTCATCACTGCTGCGATGCTCCTGTCGCCCCTTTGGCCAGGGATGGGGACAACGGTGAGAGGGGACAGGAGGAGGTGGCAGCTCCCTGGTGCCTCCCTCCACAGCTGACAGCCACCTTCAGTAGTTAAAGGCTCTGTCCCTGAGGGAGAGTTCAGCTCTGCCACCCCCATATTGGGGTTTTGCAAACCACAGAGTCACTGGAGCAGCCGGTCCCCTGCCTGTCCCCTGCCCATCACACTCTTGCCCCAGCCCCCTCACTGCCACTTCCCATATCCCAACGAAAGCACTTGACTGTCCCCTTATCTCCAAGTTTTGCCCTCCAACACCATCCTTCAGCTTTCCCCCGTTCTCACCTTTATCCCATCCCGGTGTGTGTCTCCCGCTGGCATCGCCCACCCGGCTGGGACATCCAACGCGCTGTGCCTCTGTCGGCTGCACCCCCAAAGCCAGGCTCTGAAGGGATGTTTGGGCATATCCCCCCTGCCAGAGCCCCAATTCCCCACTGTCTGTGAGTGCCCAGCTCACACCAGGTGGAGTGACAGTCCCCGGGGAGGGGGCGCATGTCCCTGCCCATGGTGACACACCCCCCTGTGCTGGAGCTCACCCCTCCTCGGAGCCCTCCAGCAAAACCAAACCACAGTGAGCCCTTTGGCTGGGGGCATCTGAGCCCCTCCAAGCTGCCCCCAGGGCTGTTGCCCCGGTGCCACGCTGGGCAGCGGGGAGGAGGACAAGCAGCCCTCTGCCATGGCACCAGCCACATGCCTTTGTCGATCCATGCAGCAAGATGCCAGCTGGTGCTCGGAAATGTCACTTGCAATTAAAAGCTGCTGTTGCTTAACGCATCCTCAGCACGGCCAGAGGAGCTCCTCGCCAAGTCCCGGATGGTTTTGGGGTCTGGGTTGCCTCGCGGACCCGCACCCCAACCCCACTCTGTGCCGCAGTGACGGACAACCCCTCGGCACACTGCGAAAGCACCGCCAGAGTGTTGGACTGAAAACGCAGGAAATAAACCCAACAACTGCCCAGCTGGGTGCCTTGCAAGAGCTGCACGGTGCAGATTTGAGCACCAGGGCTGGCCTCTCTGGAGAGACAGGGGATACAAGCCCCACGTCCCCCTCCTGTACCCCATGGGTACCAGGAGGGCTCAGGCACTCGGCCGAGCACCAACGCTCACCGGGCAGCATCTTTCTCAGCCAAATGGGTTTTGGCAGGAGATCATCCATCCCTAGCACCCACCACCCAGGGGGGTTCGCCCTGCCCGGCTGCATCCCCCTCACCGCCCCACATCACAGCTGGCAGAGCCACAGGAGCCACGATGCCACAGCGATGGCCGCAGCCAGGGCCCCTTGGCCAGAGAGGGTGGCAGGTGAGTCATGCCATGTTGGCAGCGTCCCACACTCCGGCACGGCCAACCCAGTGTCGGG